TTTTTTGAGCAGTAAAGATTCTAAAGAAGAAGAATAGACAAGTTAAGGAGAAAAGATCGGTGCGGAAATCATCGAAAACTTACAGAGCATGGGGGGCGAGGGTAAAAATAAGTTTAAATAACCAGATATTTTGCAAAAGAACAAAGAAAGTGATACGTGAAAGGCTGCAAAGGGCAAAAAAAGACAGTACTACCTACATCTGAAAAGTACGAAACATTTTCCTATTTCGGATCAGATATGAAAATGATCAGAACGGAAACCACAGTGGCTGTCATGGTGAGCTTGGGATCACACTACCGTCTTCACCCGAATACAAGACAGTAATTATTGCTGTATTTAGACTGAAAGATACGCCAAGTACATTTATAATGACCGTATATTGTATTCAGGTAAAGAAGGTATCTTTGATTTCTCTACCCCTGACAGCAGCGACAGGTTAAAAATAGTCGGGGTGAACTACCAAGTTCCATCGCCCTGCCTTCGTAAGAGCTAGATTCTGAGCTAAGAGCCTCAGTGTGCCAGTGTTGTGTTTTCAACTTTTCTGTGATCTCAGGCGCTGTTTGCGTGCTATCATGGGAGTAAGAAAAAACTTCTGGAGCATTTTGCAGCCGTGTGCTCGTATCGACAGATCTTCCGACTGCTTGGTGGCGCTTCGTGGCCAGAAGCTGGCAATAGATCTCTCACACTGGATATGTCAGATGCAAACCGTGTCACTGCCGGCTTCGACTCAGAGTCGTTCTGCTAGAGCTGGCTCCGAGTCTGGGCAGAGTGAATCTACTGTCAAGCGGATTCCTGGCAAGCCCCACCTTAGAAACCTGTTCTTCAGAATCGTCAAACTCGTCGCAAAGGTGGGATCTTTGCCAGTGATGGTGATCGATGGGAATCCTCCCCTATTGAAGCGCAGATTCGCTAATTATTTGTCGCATGGAGTATCGAGAGGCGATTTTTCTTACTCGCCGACCTCCAGTCCTGAGCTTGAGAAAGAGGGAGACAGTCAGATTGGGAAAGGGCAGGCGAGACTGTGCAAGCCATCTGGAGACCGAAGCCAGAATGAACGGTTCCTCCGCGATGTAGCGGAAGCAGTGGAGCTGCTTGATCTATTGGGATTGCCAATATTGTTTGCAAAGGGAGAGGCGGAGGCACTTTGCGCAGAGCTTAATCGTCATGGTGACGTGGATGCGTGTGTAACGGGAGATAGCGATGCTTTGCTTTATGGAGCAGAAAGAGTAATCAAGGTGTTGTTGATGAATGATAAGGAACCGTGTGTGGAGGCGTATTATGCACAGGACATCCAGGAGAAATTAGGACTGGGAAGAAACCATCTTATTGCAATCGCATTACTACTGGGCTGTGACTTCAACGATAAAGGCGTGAAAGGAGTTGGACCTGCGACAAGCCTCAAGCTCGTTAAGGCGTACACGAATGACGAAATTCTTGAGACGCTTTCCATATGGGGGTCTGGCAAGATGCCATCTTCTTCAGAAATGCAAAGATTTCTCGGCTCGGAACGAGCGGAGGAGACCGTGACAAGGGCAAATACTAGTATGAATCAAGAGGAACCAATCGCAAGAATCGCAAGGCCAAGACATTGCTCAAATTGTGGACATCGTGGAGATGTGCGGAAGCATATCCTTGCCGGCTGCGAATCTTGCAAAAAGTTGCCCGGCAGCTTTTCGGAAGAGAGCGGTGCAGGATGCATTCCCAAACCGACTGACTTCATTTGCAACTGCGAATGGTGTTCAGCGGTCAGCGAAGCGAGGAAGCAGGCACGCAGGGAAAAGTTTTGGGATAAAATCTTCAAAAATATTGTGTGCGCGTCGTCATTCTTCGACCAAGGAGTTGTTGATTTGTTTCTTGAAGTCAACAACGACCACTTTCGCACACAGCAAGCAAGTCCCTGCTCTGCTTTAATACATTGCAGCTCATTTGATATCGCAACGCGGGCATCGACAATGCCATTGATCTGGCGACTCCCCGATGTGGAGATGGTGAAGAAATTTCTTGCTTTTCATCTTCATTGGACACCCAAATATACTGAGCAGAAGTTGTTCCCCATGCTTGCCCACCTGTCCTTACTACAAGACACGTCTTCCGGAAGTAATACTATATGCTTGGAATCGCCGAGGAAGTCGTGCTCCATCGATTGCCCAGTTATGGTTGGGAGGTACAAGTTGGACTCGATATGCGGACTGCGGAAGCACCGGCGAAAATACAATAAGCAATGCAAATACATTCTGAAGTGGGTTTACATGGAAAACATGAGGCAACCTGAGCGAGCAGGCGATGAAAGTCCGGATGACAATCACGTGGAACTTGAAAGCTGTACCCACGGCAAACATTCGAGCGTCAACGCTAAGTACAGTATTCCCTATGGAAAGGAGGCTGGTTCCGGAGAGGGTTACCGTAACGAACTGCTTGATGAGGATGAGAATGGAAGGGATAGCAAAAAGAGAAAGGTAGCAGTGGATGCAATGCCATGTGACGCACATCTATGCGCACCTGAAGTGCTTTGTGACGAAAGTGTCGATCTTGTAGAGAGCGCATGCCCAGCGTTGGTAAATTCCTTCAATGCAAGTCTCGTCAAGCGTTCAAGGTGCTAATAGGAATATATATATATTTGACGATATATATATATATATATATTACTGACCAGTCGGTCAGTCGAATCAAGCAGTCATAGGCGAGGCTTGATGAAAACCCACTCTTGTATCTCTGGCGGAGGCCATGTGGTGCAAAAACTGACCAGTTGCCTCAGTGTAAGTCATAGAAGGGGCTTGATGAAAACCTGCTTTTGTATCATTGGCAGCGGTGGACTATGTACTGGAAATAGGGTACTATTACTACTATACCTTAGGTTTCGCGTAGTTTTATTTCTGTGATAGCCTTAACCTATCTACGTGAACTAGGTGAAAGCTAGGCTTAGCATAGATATGGGCCCTGTGCATTATAACTAAACCATGATCACCAACCTAGCCCAAGAAACTGTGCAATGTACATAGAACGAAAAGAAAACAGAAGAACGAAACCATAGTTGTTTGGCACTTTGCCAGTTGCTCTATTAAAAAGAAGAACGAAAAGAAAACAGAACAGAATCTACTGTATGTCAGCTGCGAGGCTGATTATGGTCTCTTGTTGGGAGGCTGTACTGCTCTGAAAGCTGTGTCTACAAATACCCATTAGATATTTAGAGCAAAAACATTGCAGCGACTTCAGCCTGTGTGTCCTACAGTACCTAGTACACGGGGACTCGGAGAATTGCGCAAAAGAACAGCTTAGAGTCTTAGACCTTTTGATTTGGCCACCTCGGCTGACAGATTCCTGGACCTGAGAGATTGGTGTTGGTATAAAGTATTGTAAACTGGGTCAGTTCTTTGGCCTGCTGCAACAGCGGTTAGATTCGCTTTCGTTGTAATATCATGTGCCACAAATTGATATCAATTGGGCTCTATAGTCCAGGCCTGGAGGAAGTGGGAAGAAAGGGGTAGGTAACCCCTGCAGAGCCGGAGCAAGATGGTGCAACTCTGTAACCTACCGCCTTCGCCCGAATAATGACCGTATTTTGACTGAAAGTTGGCCCAAATGCCGCTAGTAGGCGGGCCCAAATGCCGCTAGTAGGAGGTAGCCTTGTATAGAGAGATCTGGTTTGTTCTGAACACCGCGGCTGCACTTGCAGAGGTTTTAGCCGGTTTTCAGTGGGTATTCACTCACTGTTATTGTTTTGGTTAATTCAGTAGTAGAATTTTGTTTTGCAACTTCTGCTAGGTTAGTTGTAGTTGACTACAAATTCTCCTGAGTTCTTCGTGATTGGTTTCCAACTTTCCAGTGTTCTCAGCCAAAGTGGGTAATGACCCCAGTATCTCATGATCTTCGTATCTTCATGATCGACACTGGGCCCGGTTCCCAGCATTTTTGGGAAAAAAAAAAAAGGAAAAAAGGTAACCATTGCTGCAGCTTCCCTCTCCTAAAGTGGATCTTTTTTTGTGTGGAAAATATTTCTGCTATTTTGGAGAATTAGTAATGCAGTTTCTGTAGCGAAATTCTGCAGGCCTGCTTTGGCTCATTCCGCAGCCTCCACTGCGTTAGCTCTTGGTGCGCAAGAAAGGCTCTACATTGTCTGCACTGTGAGGCTAGCGCTTTCATTGAGGATCCAGAGCACTTAGGCCATACTCAAGACTAGAACTTTCCTAAATGTATCTGACCACAAATGTATCTGACCACAATTACCGCCAGACCTGGATGCTTGAACCCGCCCTGGAGAAATTAGCCCACGGGAGCGAATTAACAGACTTCCTTAATTGGCCGGGCGCTGGTGATCAATAGTGCAGTGCTGGTCGCCCTTTGGTACAAATCTGCAATTTGGGCCCTTGGTAAGGAGGCGGTTCGATTGCTCAAGCGGCAGATGACTGCCATGTTGTGGAGAGGTAACTGTGAAGTCCCGAACGTGATCAACCGGGTGGCGTGGTCGTCGGTGATTCAACCCAAGGACAAAGGGGCCCTGGGGATTTTAGACCCGGGTACCCAGAGTACAGCACTAATGGTGCAATGGGTCAGGAGACTGCTAGTTATTCAGAATCTTCCTTGGGTATGCCCTCGCGTTGGAACAGATTGCTCGCCTGGCCCCGCAGACACCGCAAGGGGTCAACCCGTTGACCTGGCTGGAGGACCGCTTCTGGTCTACACCATGGTGCCCCCGACCTGGTCAGGCCTTGAGTCGGAGCACAGTCTGCAGCGACCTGGCAAAGGACGACTTTTGGATCCGCGTCTTGAAAGCCTGGCGCCAACTCCCGCTGTCTGAAAGATCCTCACCGACCAGATGGGAGGAAGTGGTGCGACACCCCCTCTTTTGGAATAGAAGTATCCCAGACCGGAACGGAAGGGTGTTCCGCAGTTCAGATTCCCCATCGAATAGCTGGGCCAAGAAAGGAATAATCAGAGTCAGGTACATTTGGGATCCAGGGATCAGGGACTGGAAAACGCACCACAGCTGAGGGTTTTGCTGAAGCACTGTCATAATATTGAAAAGAACCTGGAGCAGCTGATCTTTGCTATCACCTTGGACTGGGTGCGCTTCCTGCACAAAGGGCCGCCATTGGTAGAAGGAGACTGGGTAGCCACTCCGGAAGACGCAGAGAGTGTAGGTAGTGTGGTGGACGCACGCGTGGACGAAGTGCTGGTCCGCCTCTTCCACAAAGGCAAGGATAATGTGCTCACCAGGTACACCCACAGGTGGAGAGATGGTGGAGAAGTATTGATTTGTACATGATCCGGGTGCTACGGGTTACGGACGAATGGATTGCAAACCAGCCAGAGAGTCCTCTAACAGACCTCCCGTTCGATCCCAAGGAGTGGCCATGGACCCCTGCACGAAGGGGGCACGGCCGACGTGAATGTAAGGTTGTATCGTCTGACTGTGAAGGCCACGTACCGCCTACTGCGTCCCAGGATAAACCTAAAGGACGTAGTGGGGGCCCGTTGGAGGTCGCATCTGAAGGTGGGCATCGAGGTCATTCGCCCCATTCGATGGTTCGGCGTCATGAGGTCGAGGCCTACAAAGTTGACCTTGCAGTGGCAGATACAGCACCGCACCAATGACTGACTGGCTGGTAGACCATACATACTTGGAGCAAATACTCCTGCAGTGCCCTAAGACAGTTCTCACATGGCGATGGTGGAACAGGATCTGGAGCCTCTTCGGCACCGGATCTGCATGCCCATGGGATTGGAGGGCGATGCTATGTGAGACATGGGCCTCCCTCTCGGGCAGTATCTTCGAAAACAACATGTTTAAGTAAGGGAGGAGAGCGATTATGTAGGCCCTCTAGAGGTGACGTTGTATACATGCTATTGAGGGGGTCCGCATAGCAAGGGAAGAGACGATGAACATGATAAAGCAATATATACGGCAGAAGGTTCAAAACCAATTGGATTTGTTTCATTCAGAAAAGGACATAACACAAGCGATCCAACAATTCTCAAGGGACTGGTTGGGCAGTGTGAACGGGGGCCGGATCGCCTTCATTAAATGGGACGGCAGCCTCATCCAAGAAAGAAACCAGGGGATGTTCAAGAGAGACTATGGTATCTGATTTAGACATTGGACAATGGTGGGTCAAGAGATCCCGCTGCATCCACCTTCGGAATTCCCCGATCCCTTTCCGCCCCCTCAACTGCCTACGGTGGACATGCAATGGTACACGGCAGAGTAAACAGGATTACAGTTGGAGGATGCAGACAAGCTGGTTTATGGTAGGATGACTGTAGATTACACAAACCTCACTACTGTCAGCAGCTGGCAGCCAAGATCATATTTTTACGATGCATATTTCTCAGTTGTTTCATCTAATGGGATGCGGGATCCATTTTTCAGCAGGTGCAACTCCCCACCAATAGAGTGGAGCACCCGGAACGTGCACTAGGGAAGACCTGTCTCTTATACACATCTAGATGTGTATAAG